GGGAGCGCCGCCGCGCTTCCCAAGCAGCGCACTATCCAGTGCGCCACCAGGCCGGCCCTACAATTTACCCTTTTAAAGTATACAATTCAGTGGCTTTTAGTATAGTTGTGTGTCACTTAATGCATCGTTAGGTGATTTTGTTGTGGTGCGAACATTCTAGAGTGTGCTTACACAAACCTAGGTGGTGTAGGCTACTACACACCTAGGCTGTATGGTATAGCTATTATAATCTTATGGGATCATCATTGCAGATGCGGTCCATCATTGACTGAAATATCGTTATGCAGTGCATAACTATATATTCATAGACTTGTGTGACCATCACCACAATTGATTTCAGAACAATTTCATCACCCCAAAAAGAAACTGTGTACCCTATAGCAGTCACCTCACCATTCACCGCTCTGGTCAGCCGCTGGAAACCAGTAAGCTATACTTTCCACTTCTCTGGATTTGCTTACTCTAGACATTTCATATAAATGAAACCACATAAATCAAATGTCCTTTGTGACTGGCTTTTTTCACTTAGCAAGTTTTCAAGGTGAATGCGTGTTGTAGTATGTATCAATACTTCATTTCTTTTTATTGCCAAATACTATTATATTATATTAGATGTACCACATTTTGTTTATCCATTCATTGGTTGATAGACATTTGGGTTGTTTCCAAATTGGGCTGTCATTAGTAATGCTGCTATGAAAATTTGTTTACAAGATTTTGTGTGGAAGAGAAATGGATTTTAATAACATTGAAGAGTTAGAATGGACAAGACATGGGGGTTGCTGAGGAGGGAAACATGGGAGAACAGCAGGTTTTGGGGGAAAGATGATGGATTCCTCCTTTGTTCTATTCCTCATGACTGGACTTCTTTTAAAGCATAGTTTCTGCAGCTCTGGGGCAGGTAGAAGCCTTTGGGGGACAATAAGATGCTGGCATGATTTGAGATGTTCTGGTGGTGCCTCCTAGCAATGATTTTTCCAAGCAATTGTGTTTTATTAGCTGAACCTTGGGTGGAAGAACAGTGGCAGTGCCAAACTGAGACTAATAATCTTTTAAACCACATATACTGCTGTACACACATACAAACCGCGGAATTCCTCTGTCGCCTCATGGTTCATTTTATGATCAGAAAAAAAACAGTCTCCCTCTTGTTCCACATATATGAACAGCCTGCTTTGTAGTCCAGATGTCTCGGTGGGGGAAAGTAAAATCTCATTTTGCACTGGCACATGTAATGTCAGGAAATCTCTGCTTTCCCAGGGTGCTAGAAAATTAAAATTGTAGTAATCAGCAGTGGATCTAGCAAATGAGATATGTAGCCATTTGCACCAAATGAAATTGGCTTTCATTGGCCTTAGCTTTTTCTTACTCAGGTACCACCCCCTTTCCAACCTAACCCTTAAGATGAAGGCACCTCCCCTTCCTCCTATTGGAGGTTGAGCTGGGATTTAGTGTCATTTTAACCATGTAGAGAGGAAGATAGCTGCACACTCCCTTGGGAAGATGTCTGAGTTTAGAAGCCCTATTTCATACCTCTTTGCTGAGCCTGGAGAGCTCACTCCAGCTGTGTCCCTTTGGCCTGCAGGTCGTGATTGCCACCAACATTGCAGAGACATCTCTGACAATTGATGGCATCTACTATGTGGTGGACCCTGGATTCGTGAAGCAGAAAGTTTACAATTCCAAGACAGGGATCGACCAGCTTGTGGTGACGCCAATTTCTCAGGTATGGCAGCTTCTACCAACAGTTTTTTGTTTTTTTTTTTTTTTAAGATGACCGGTAAGGGGATCTTAACCCTTGACTTGGTG